GCAACTACCGAAAGTCTCCGAGGTTACCAGGTTTTTCAGAGAAGTAAGTTGTTGGATTAACTCAAAGTGACTATTAGCATTGCTAAATTTCAAGTACCAAATCATGTGTTTTGATTAAGCATTAGTCAGATTAAAAAAATAATATGTTTTCCTGCTATAACACAGCTATGTTGCTACCAAATTATACCCAAGTAGCAGACCAAACATCTACTTAAGAAGGACTAGCTGAACTTGCTAGAGAATGTGAGTGAGTGCTATTCAGGAAGGCAGAGCAGTTCATAAATCTCAAACCAAATCCTCAAAGGAAATATTTTTTATGATGAAAGTTTTGGCAGGAGGATGGTCATAGCTATAATGAATGTGAAGATTTTTTTTTGTTGTTAAATTGGTGAAAATTCATCTAAAAAATAATGTTTTGTTTCTATCAGTTATAGCATTCTAAAAGACATATTCTCATAGACCTGCTATTCTCTATGGTAATGAAATCTTCATAACATTTAGAGAAAGTTTAGAGATGATGATAGTTGAGTTAAATAAAGCAATTTTATCTAGTTTTGTATCTTTCAAAGCAGAGGGGTATAATTTCTTGTGGGGCCTATTCCTACCAACCAGCTCTGCCAGTCTCCGTAAAGGTTTGTATCATGATACAAAAACCAATATGCATACATGCTCTCACCTATATATTCCTATCTCTCCCTTTCTTTTAGTTCTTTAATTTTTCTTTTTGACACAGTCTCATTTGATCCAGCCTGGCCCCAAACCTGAAACACTTGATCCTCTTTCCCTTACATTCTAAGTTCTGAGATTATAGGCATGTGCCAACAAGGACAAAGGTCAAATTTGTTGTATCAATTCCTGAACCCATCAGATCACAATGGAAAGGAACAGCCCAGCCTTGTAAGATGTGAGGAAGATTTAAACACACACGCTCTTAGCCTACCTTCACATTGCTTTATCTGAAAAACAGTATTACTTGAATAGTTCTCTGTAGCCCAAATGCCCCTTTGAGATAAGGGTCCACGATTAATTTATCTTCCAAGTGAGTTGAATAAGTTTTAGGGACAGAAACTATATTATAGCTCCAGGATGACAGGTAAGATCAACCTGACAGGTATGCTCAAAACACAATGGTCATTATTTAAGGTATCTGCCCTTTATGTAATAGTATAGCTCCCTTTCCTACTACCTAGAACTACATGCATGCATTTACTCATGCAATAAACATATTAACTTCAAAAACAGAAACTGTAGCTGGGCACAGTAAATCTGATTTCACATTGTCCACCATCAGTTCTCTGGATTCATGGCTGGTGTTTTCAGACACATAGTCAACACTATAAGTAAAGGTACTGGTTTTATGGCAGGGAAAAACATCATGATTACATCTTACTTTATATTGGGACCTGTATGGAAACTTTCCAGACATTGTCAATAGCATGCCTTAAAATACAGAGTTGCTTGGATAAGAGGCATTCTGGATGGTTGCCAATTGGGCAGAGTCCAAATTCTAGTAACAGATTTTAACAAAGGAACTTAGTATTTGGAGTTGCTGTCTTCTTAACAGTGCTCACAAAACAACTGAGTTCAAAGGCTAACTGAATGGACACTTATAGGTTCACTGAAGTCATCTAGAATTCTTTTCAGGGCAACTGAATATATTAATTTGTTGTTCTTGTTTTAAATGCCTCTCCAAATTCAAATATAAAGAGGCAAAAAGAAGCAAGTAAGAGTGTCATAGTGGAAAGTACTTGATGACATATGATGATCAATTTGATGAGGCCAGGCAAAGAAAATCCAGGTTTTGTTTTCTCCTCTGTTGGCCCTAATAGGTTCCTCAAGAATCTATAAAGTAACATGATATCTGGTGTGTCCACTGAGAGACTCAATCTAGTAAATGATATATATAAAATGTACATGGTATTCATGTTAAATATATAACTCTTATATTTCTGAAAAAAAAGAGCATCTAACACTCACGTGTTTGCCTTTATGAGGAACAAAAACGATTTCTGTAGGAGATTAGAAATTTTGGATTTAGAAGATTTGAGTCAGAGTGTTTTAATGATTATAACTCAGATTCACTGAACACTGGCAATGGGGGTGGCTGACCACTGGGTCTTCAATTCTCTAAAAATTATTAAGGATTAAAGTTAAACACTCTTTTATGTAGTTAGATTTAATTACTAAAGTATATGCTTATATTTGAAATCTTACAAGCTTTTGTGTGGGTACATATGTGGGTATACATTTTCTCATTAAGTTGCTTAATTTCCTTTAAGAGATTCTTTGTACTTTAAAACAAAGATAAATTACTTTGTGATTTAAACTCACATCTTCTATATCCAGTGCCCTCCCCATCCCAGACACACACAAAATACCATGACTACAATGGAACAGAGACTCCTAAATTGACAAAGTCAGATATTCTTGTCTAATGGAAATTTATAGATTCAATTGGAACAGATAGGTGCACTATATGTCAACAAAGCATAGCAAGTGAGTAGGAAAATTCCTACTTCTCCAGAAGGTCAATTAAGTGTTTGGGTTTGCTCAAGGAAAAAGTAGCAAATGTCAAGAACAAACAGTGAGTCTACATAGTTGCAAGCCTGCGTTCAGACCCACAGAGATGAATGATCACTCTATCAGTGCTCATGTGTGCAGTTCTTATAAACAATCCATACTTGAATGGAAGATCTGCATCTTGTCAAGAAGGGAAAGCAAATCTCGCTGGAGAAAATGAATAGACTATCTCAGCAATTAAGGGCTTCTGTTTGCCAAGGCTCTAACCTCCCTCCACTGTACTAAGCAGTAGGTCACATGCCTTAGACATTTGCTGACCTTGACTTGGTGTTTCTCATAGCTTGCTTGTTTTGAGAGTTACTTCTGACCCATTCCCAAACTTTGGCAGTTAGTTTAGACTCAAAATATTTCTAATCACCTTCAGGATTACCCTACTAAATGGAAAATCCTAGAAGTTGGCTTAATAGTATACCAAGGTAAACTATGAGAAAATAATAATTCCTGAACTGACAAACAATTTTATTATGACTCTGATCTCCCTTGCACTAAAACAGTATCTTGTCATAAGAAGAAAAGTTTCCATATACAGTCTGATGGTCAATACTTGGAGGAGGCTAAATCATAAAATGGACTTAGTACACTCAAGTCTTGCTGATACTTATTACAGAGAAGTTTAGTCTTACCATCTGCACTGTATGCTGTGCAGTAAATGCTATTCTTTGAAATGTAGCCTCCAACTCTAAGCCACCTTTGACGCATTTCTTTGTGTTAGATATAGACTACTAGAATATTTTAATCTCTGGCCTATTTGGTAAGCAGCATATTTCACAATGGAATTATAGCATATATCTTTAGGAGTCAGATAAGTTTGCCATGAAAGTACAATTTTATATTCTCCCTTGTTTGCAAAGTTGCATTGACTTCCTGAAAATGTGTTTATATATATTATTTTTTTAGTAGGTAGTTGGTAATTTAAGAGTGGGAATAAGGACATAAGATCTATGGCTCATTCAGAACAACAGAAAGAACAGTTCATGTGATTAATGTCAGAGACAATTTTGATTCCTTCATGCCAATTAATGTGGCCATTACATCAAAAGTGTGGGCCCATCATTCCATTTCCTTATTTTGTTATGTTTTGTAAAACAGAGGACTTTTGGTTGTTAAATTTTAGCTTTTAATTACTAGGTACAGGTCAACTGCAAAACCCAAACCCAAACAACAACAAAGGACTGGTGCTCAGGTCAGGTATTTGAAATTTAATTACTACAATACAACAAGAAGATGGAGTGAAAGCACTATTGGCTATGTCAAAGTCTCAGTCGACTTGGAGATAGCCCCAGTTATCTTATGCAATTATTAATGTTCTTCCAATAGGTGAGCAATTCACTCCAAGTGTGCCATTAGACCACTTGTGTGTCATGAATTATTTTATTTTCAAAAATTTCAAGTACATACTATTACACAGAAAAGTCAACTTCCATCTTCTATTATCAAGAAAGAAAGAAGTTATGACAGAAACACTCCATTGATATACTCTTGGGCAAATGGGTATTTAAAAAATATCTACATTAGTTAATCTGAGGAAATTGGTTTTCTATAAACTCCTATTCTGGTTGACATTAATAAAAAATGAAGACTCTGCAGAGTGAATTGCAAGGCTCTGACTTCTAAACGGCACCCTTAGACTCTGCCATCTTTATCTCAACCTTCCTGCCTGTTCTTCTTTGCCTCTAACACACAGATGACAGATGATCTACAAACAGTAGAGTCTTGCAAACCATGTTGCCTTTCTTGTCCATTCTTTGTCCTTCCTAGTAGCTGGACAGCCAATTGTACTGAGGTTACATGAAGCTCAATATCTCATTCAAATGTGAGAAACCTATGTTTGGATTGTTTTCACTGAAGTTACAGTTGTTTTCATTTATTGACCCTGACCAAGTCTACATCATTTGATAGCTGATTATTGACCACATTCATTTTTACTCTTACTTGCTGACCACAGGTTCTTTATTCAGTTTAAACAAGTGTTTCTACTAAAGATATATATTTGTCATCCTTCCCCAGGAGGTGACAGTACCAGGAGGTAGGACTTTGAAGAGATAATTATGTCACAAAGGTGAGCCTTCATGAATGGGATTTGTGTGTTTTTAAGAGCTACTTCAGAGAGATTATTTCTACTTCTACAATATGAGCTTAGAGTGAAAATGAGGCTATCTCAACACATATCTCTGACTTTAGCTTTGACCTCCTAGAATCTAGAACTGTTAGGCATTATGTCTTCCATTGGTAAACTGCTTAGTTTATGGTATATATGTTATAGCAACTGACATGTACAAAAGGAATGAGAATTTGATTATTGTCTTACTAGCTTGAAAATAGGAGTAAAGGTTCATAGTCTCAAAGGAATAAACCAAGAGAGTAGCAGCTGAGCACTCTAGTTTGGGAGGACAAATACTCACGACTTGAATGATACTGACTTTGTGGAGGCTCTGCTGCTTGGATCACTCCACTCTAAATAGAAAGGATACAAACAATTAATATTCATGCATCTACTCTCAAATCAGTATTCACATGGAAATTATTTTCTAAGCATGCATCCCTGCCAGATGATTTCATATCCTTCTGTCATAATAATAGATGAAAGATATGAACTAAAACAGTCAATCCCAATGCAACCTTTTGTTACGATTATTCCTTCATGTCTTAATAACATTAAGCAGAAAAGAGGGGGAAAGTAAGAAAAGTGAGATTATGGATGGCTGGCATAAGTAGGAATTGGAAAAACAAAACCCACTTACTTTGTAAGGTGAATCCTGGAGTCAGATGCTGAGATTCCTGCAAAGAAGAAAGTACAATATAGACATTACTAAAATGATATGGGGGTGAGGGAAGTTATCTGTTATTTCAAAGGATATATTACTAATATTTACAAATAAGAAAAAATGTTAAAAATTATATTAGTTAAACTTCTCTGCATGGCTGTATTTGTACTGACTAGCCAAGGCTGCTGGAACAATTTTAGAAAGAATGTTATAATAATTATTATAATTTAGAGTAAGGTTCATGTCTATCTGGAACTGTACACCACATGAGAACAAATGACCCATATATGTAAAATTCAAGTGTATAACATCACTTAGCTAGGCAATGATCCCTCTTAGACAGTCAAGGAGACTTGGTTCAACCAAATACATGATCATGTGTCTTTTTTTTTAAAGTGCAAACATGATTGTGATTGTAATTAATAAGTATATCTAGTTTCTTCCTTGGTAAAAAAAAAAATCTTTTTTTAAAAGTGCATGTTTTAACTTAGTTCAACAGGAGTTGTCCACCAAATTTTATTACAAGCCTGTTGAGGCAGAGGAAGTAATTTGGAATATGTTAGCAGACTCTATTATTGAAGGATTTAAATTTTATTTGAAAGTACCTTTCATAAAATTCATTCACTGTTTTGAGAAATCTAGACTTGCACTTATGAGTCTTGCTCGGAGCATGGCATAGTTGTACAGATCTTGACAAATTTGGCATGTAAAAGCACTAAAGAAATGCTCAGAAATGGTTTGAATGAGAACATCCCCTGTGGTTTTTGACACTTTAAAACTTTGTTCCCAGTTGGTGGTACTGCTTTGGTAGGTTTAGGAGGTGTGGCCTTGCTTTAGGAAGTAAGTCCCTGGAGTTGGGCTTTGAGGTTTCAAGGTCATGTGCTATTATTTCCATTTCACTCTTTAAGGTTGGAGATAAGCACTCTCTGTCATCATTCATAACTGCTTGCTGCCACACTTCCTTGTTATGATGTTGAGAGATTTTTATCCCTCTGGAACCATAAAGTCCAAATAGACTCTTGCTTCTGTTAGTTTCCTTGGTCATGATATTTTATCACAGTAATAGAAAAATAAAAAATATATCAGGTCATACACAGTACTGTGTGGAGAATATGCAAGGACTACAGAGCAAAATCAAAGGCAGTTAGTGCAAGTAAGGTTCTGTGTTCCATCACTATCAGTACAAAGAAAGTAAATATAAAATTGCCTTTATCAGAGTCTCTGCTTTGAGGAATGTACTCATTAGGGTAGATCTTACCCTACACAGAAGAAAAAAAATCACAGCATAATTTATCTTTAAATAATAAGCAAAGAACCATATGATACTGCTGTGCTTTATCTGACAGTCAAGTTTTCAGTCTGTTTATTATACCCATTTGACAAGAAGTTTGACTTCTGTGATGATCACTCTAGAAAACTACAACAAACTCAGTTAAAGATTGTCATTAATCCTGCTTAAAGTTTACTGCTTAAAGGCTTCAAAAATTGAAAGAGCCCTGCCTTTTGAATATTTTATTTGGTACTATAAATTTTGCCAACAGAAAAAGAAGAACAAAACCAAGCAAACCATAGGCTGGAAAGGTTATTGGCTGGAGTAAGGGAATCACTATCGTTTATGTAAACTCATATACCACCAAATTGGATTCTAAATATCTATGTTTATACCCACAGACAAATGCCACTTCCATCCTTCCTTAATTAGAAAAGCTACTTGTCATGAATGGAGATAAATGCAGAGTCTCATGGCTGCCCAAGATGCTGAAAATAAGTGACAGCTGAATACTCAACTTTAAACAAGACATTTATGCCACCCTCTCTAAGGTACAAGAAATTCTGCAGAAAAGAATGAAATATTGTAAGAGCCAGAAAAGCAGGAGAAGGGCTGTGACATGCTATCTTCAGGACATTGCACAGCTACTGCAAACATGATCTCATAGCAGCTGTGGTTCCTTGTACTGAGCCTGCACAAGGCAGGGCTGTCAAAAGTCAATTGTGGGGTGTGGAAGGGCTTATGGAACCTATCTTTCCTGCAAAGTATTGGCAGCTAATGGATTGTAGGAGAGAAATAGTCATTGCCTTCAAGAATCCAAGGAATAGATTTTAAACCTGTGACGACATAGAATATCTTGGTTAAAATCATTAGGTCAGAAATAAAATGTAAAAAAGGCATGTTTGTGGGTAAGGGACCTGTAGGGAAGAAAGGGGTTTGACATATTTGGAAGGAAAATAAGAGAGTTGAGGGCTGGTCCGAGTAACTAGAATGTACTATATACACATATACATGAAATTGTCAAAAACAAATTTAATCATTAGAAAAGAAAAGTCATGGAAAACATAGCTGTGTTACCATCTAGGATGACAGGTCTTATTACACTTCCTACATATATATCATTGTACCCTTCTCATATTTACCTCCTTACTACTAGTGTCTTTTGTCACTAGAGAAATAACTGCCTTTTGAAAAAAGGTCTCTAAAATGTTGAACCATCAGCTCTATCCCTTAGGAATTTACAGATGGTAAAGAGAATGTGTCTATAGAGGTCACATCACAGAAAGACCAATAAGTTGTGAAAACTAACAGCATAAGAGTCCATGGAAAATGGCATAAAAAAGTCAGAACTTAAAGAACGTACAAGGCTGTGTCCATTTAATGGGAAGAAAACATTCTTCCTCTCTATGTTCTTATCCCTTGAGGGCACTATTGCTGCCTAACACAATAATTGGTGCTGATAATAGTATCAAAGTTATGAAGAAAAACTTTAGTGTGTTCAACATAACCTTCTTAAGATGGCAGGAAAATATTAATTCCACTTCAAAATAAACTCCATCATGTGGAGTCTCTGAAACTATCAGATAATTTTAATTATCGAGAACATACATAAAAATGAGTTACTGACCATTTGTATCAGCTTAACTTTAAACAAGTATTTCTATCTGGTCTTTCTCGAAAGGATTTTATTACAAAGATGCAGAGCAAGTTTAGACTTGTATACCTTCAGGAAATTAAACACAGGTTCCAAAGCCAAACAAAACAAACATGTGATAGGAGAGTAAAACACCCGGTCTTTATGTTTGTCTTGTAAACTGGTTTTTAAAATGGCCTTTATGCTCAAACAACCAATTGCTTCAGTGCACGGAATGTAGTGATGCATGAAGCACATAAGAGGATGGAGTCATTCCACAACTGTGTATAATTGATGTTACATATTCTTGACATTGATTTTTAACGCTAATCTAGATAAATCATTTTTAAACAAGATATACAAATAAAGAAAACACTTTTAAATGTTGCCAATGTCACTGTACATAAACACACAATTGTAACTGTATATACTGTGATCCTGGAAAAAAATCTACTATGTTCAAACAATAACAGTTATTGCATGTAGTATAAAGTCATCAGACATGAATCTCAGTATTTCTTTGACAGAAATATCATATATGCTGGTACATAACAAGGGCAAGCTATATTCACAAACTCGTGTAAAGCTCTTTTAAAATAACCGCATGTATAACAACAATATGATCTGGATTTGTACGATCCAGCTTTTAGAGTATCAGCTAACTTTTACCATAGAAGGCTAGACAGTAAATACCTTATGGGTTTGTCATCATTAACTCTGCCATTATAGTATAAATGGCTGTGTTCTGAAAATGCTTGATTCATAGACACATTACTCACAGTAATGTATCATTTTTCTTTCGATTTTCTTTAGCATTTTAAAATGCAAAGATCCAAGAGATACAGTGCTATCTCTGTTCTAGAGGTCATTTGCTGTGCCAACCTTCTCCCAGGGATACTGTTGCTTTCTTGGTTTTATTTAGCATATGTTTATTCTCCTCTTTGTGAAGATTTACATTCTCTATACTAAATGGGAATTTTAAATTTGCAATTGGTCAGCAAACTTTAACCGAGAATTTTTAACTATGTTTGTCTTTGTAAGTTTACAGATTCATAAGTTACTTAATTTGAAAAATCACACACACACACACACACGAATAAGAAAACTGAAACTTAGAAGACATTCAAAAAGATTAAGCAGCATAAAATTTGAAGAGTTAGATAAAAGGTATCCATGATTATAGTTTTGTCCTTTCAATGAGCTCTGTCATAACTAAAATCTAAAAGACAAAAAACAAAAAAACCCCAGCCCCCTCAAAACCAAAACACAAACAAACAAACAAACAAACAAACAAAACCAGGTTCTCAGAGGGTAGTATCACACTGTTCTATTAAAAGAACAAACAAACAAAAAAAGGGAATCACTGTCTTAAGCATACTGAATGGAGATATCCAGTTTAGAAGATATATTTTATAGTGAATAAATTCCTTGCATGTCCTTTTGGGTCTAAGTTACCTCACTCAGGATATTTTCTAGTTCCATTCATTAATCCATTCTTCAGTTGAGGGACATGTGGCTTGTTTCCAGCTTCTGCCTATCACATACAAGGCCACTATGAACATAGTGGAACACATGCCCTTGTGGCATGGTGGGGCATCTTTTGGGTATATACCCAAGAATAGTATAGCTAGGTCTTCAGGTAGATCTATTTCCAGTTTTCTGGCGAACCTCCATATTGATTTCTAGAGTGGTTGTACTAGTTTGTAATCCCACTAGAGATGGAGGAGTATTCCTCTTTCTCCACATTCTTGCAAACAAAACCCTGAGGATTCGATATTAATCATTTTGATTGGTGCAAAGTGGAATTTTAGGGTCGTTTTGATTTGCATTTCTCTGATGACTAAGAACTTTCAACATTTCTTTATGTGCTTCTCAGCCATTTGAGATTCCTCTGTTGTGAATTCTCTGTTTAGCTCTACACTCCATTTTTTTTTTGATTGGGTTGTTTATGTTTTTTGTAGGGTAGCTTCTTGAGTTCTTTATATATTTTGGATATAAGCCCTCTATCAGATGTGGGGTTAGTGAAGGCTTTTTTCCCAATCTGTAGATTGTTGTTGATTTCTCCTACTATGTCCTTTGCTTTACAGAAGCTTTTCAGCTCCACAAAGTC